TGTGTCATTGAAGAGCCGGTCCAGAATCCTGCGAGGTGTTGGCGCCAGCAAGGATCAGCAAGGGAGATCCACAGGGGCTCAAGGCCTGTCAGGTACGATGCTGCTAGGAGGGCCCCAGCTAAAACAGGAACAGCGGATGCAGCCCCCATTTATATGCCACCTGGCCCCAATAGGATCGCATCCTGCCGAGGGGCCAAGACCGAAGGCTGCAGGTACCGCTGGCGTCGGGCGGGCAGTGAAGCAGGTCCGGTACAACAGGACATGACAGCAACGGCCCAGGGCAGGGCAAGTCCAGGGCAGTCCAGGGCCAAGCTTTCCTGGGCAGGCAGGTGCAATGAGATGGAAATGACGGGATGGACTGATGAAATGATGGCCGTCTCACATTAGACGTCTCCTCCTCTGAACCTCGATCAACAAGCACGGCCATCGACTGAGCAACAAGACAACCAGACTCAGCTAGGGTTCATCGTCAGCAGCTCGAAAATCGATATTCGTTTCTTCTCCCTCGTTGCCGCTCGGAAAAGAAGACGTACCTCCCACATGTGGCCGTGAAGGCCCAGTATATGACGAAAAGGAACAGCGCGGCCAAGCGGCCAACTCAAACGCCATGGCCCTGGTTGGCCCTCCTTCGGCCCCATGGCCCCAGGGCCCCATGGCCCCATCCTTGCGCCCCCTCCTCCTCGTCCTTCCACATGCTCCCAGGCGTCCAAGGCGTCCCCTCGCTGGCGGCAGATGCGAAATTTTCCCAGGAGTGCGGGTGGGTTGCTGCACACTGCCGGGTACGCTACCTGAATCGGCACCTCAGTGTCACACTGCCATGCCCCGGTCAGATCCCGGCCGCCTTGTCCGTGCTGTTCGGGATTTAAATATCACACGCCTTGCTGCTCGTCCTCCTCCACCTTCGGCCTGCTCCTCTCCTCACCATCGTCTTGCTTCGCTACGTCCACGTTCTCTTCCCTCACGCTTCGTCGCTGCTGTCGCTTTGACTCGTGCCTTGCTGCACATTACCTTCCTTCACAACACTTCGACGTTCAGAACCTGTCCATCGCACTTCTTCGCGACTTGCTTCCGATCTCTCACCGCTGGTCGCTATCCATTCACTTACTCCACACCAACAAACAATCACCAAGACCGTCAACATGCGCTTCCTTCTCGCCAGCATGGTCGCTCTTGGTCTTCTTGGCCTCTTCTAAGTGCACTCTGGCACACATGGTCTTTCTACTTCTTCACTTCTGGCCACCACCATTTACTTTTTTTTTTTTTTACCACACTTCTCGGGGGACAGTTTGATTGGAGACCATTTCATCATACCACTTTGATTATTCAGCTTGGGAATCTTTCTTTTTCGAGGATTTGATACCATTTCGGAGGTTCTGGTTCACCAGCTACTGGATGGCACATCGATAAGTCCCACTTTTTTTGGGCTTCGCAGATGCTTGAACCTGGCGCAAATAGGCTAGCTTTTTTGGATGGAATTGTCGCGATGGACATTTTATGATTTGTCGCATACACCGAATGCTCTGGCTGATGTGATGCGCACTTATGAATGACAAACCTTTGACGACGTACTTTTTGACTTCGCGTGGTGACATTGCGCCGTTGTTCGTTGTCGATGGGGGAAGGTTGCAATACTATGAGCATGTGTCAAAGACTTGAATGCCATTGTTTGGCGTGCCGTGCGTGTAGGATCAAACTGAAGCTAGCACGAATGCTTCTCTTGCCAGCCGTTTCAATTCACCTCCGACAGATCAGACCACCGTCCCTCTCCCACCTCGAGTTTCCCGACGTTCAAATGAATCTTCTGGAATGTAGCCCGCGCCAAGATGGCCCCTCAATGTGCCCTGGCTGTGGACAACATCTTGTTGTATCAGCCCTGGGTGATGCTCCTACCGGAAGCACGTGTCTGAAGCCCACATTCCACGGAGCGGCCCGGGGCAGGTACAGCCCACAGGCACCTGCCACACCTGCTGGTGACGACTGCCTTATCACTAATGACCTCTCCATCGCCATCCAAGAAGGCATGCCTCGCCTTCTATGAAGATCTATGAATGATCCCCTCACGTTGGCATCCCGACGTTCTCTCCCAATGCACTCACACGGGTCAACCTCACGCCTTTGGTCTTTCAAAGCCCGAACCGGAGATGACGCAAGCTCATTGTCTCCATCATCCGGTCTTGACTGACGTTTTGTCCTCTCGTCGAAAGTCTGGCCCTTGGCACTTTATTTGCCACTGTCTATTCGTCCTAGCCCATGGAACCGCCACAACGCCTTAAAACGATGCTCATCGCGAGGCTTTCTAGCCTCCCTGCTGGTTTGCTTCAGCCTCCACATCACGCCCTGTGTACGCGGCCCCCGGCCTGGTTAAGCGGCTATTCCACGTACCCTCAACCGTTATGCGCCGCCTCAGAACCCGGCGGAGCCGTACTATGACCCACAATTCCTCCGTCAGTCATTCTTCACATGCCTGATGCCTGTTCTAACTCATCCAGACCCTCCGAAGAAAAGTCCGTCTCCTCCATCGACGAGCAGAAAAAAACCATGGGAACTCTATGTCGTCCCTAGTCTGCGATCGAGAGTGTAAGCTTTCCCGCACTGCCGGAGGGTTTGTGGACGGGGTTTGACTCACGCGCAATACCCAGCTGCACACTGTGCACAGAGTGGTTGTGACGCTGGCACCTTTTGCTGACAGTGACAGGGGCTCTTGGTGGAGTGGTCGCATGTTTTGAGAGACATGTTGTCTCCGTGTGCGGCTCGCACTGATGATATCTGGTGATCAGTGCAGAAATTGACACTTATCGACGGTCACGGTGCGCCAAATCTCGCGGACGGCTGCTGAACGAGCACAAGTCAATAGAATTTGCTCAACCGCTGCTGCTTCACGTTGAATAGTGAGAGGAGATATCGCGACCTTGTCGGGGTTCAAGCTAAGGTCGTTTGCTCTAGGATCTTTGGTGCTGCTACATTGAGGTCTGGGCTGACAATAGTAGATCAGAGCTCTGGCAGCATGACGGCTTCGCAGGACTTGAGTGATCGCGAACAGAGCGACCTTCTTATACTACTCAAGGCCGCCGTCCGGAGGCGCAGACAAGTTCGACCCGTTCGAGTCCTCCTGCAGGTGATCATGCCAGGGGTTTGTTATCCGCACGACGTCAAGATCCTGCCTAAGAATGGCTCGGCTGCATGCGTTCTGGGAATCGATACCCCCGTAGTTCGTGGCTCCGGCCGTCATCCCACTCTGATCGTCTTTGCAGGTCGGGATCTTGATGGCTCCCCCCTACCATGTCACTCGCCGCGTGCCCATAGGGTCACGCCCCGTACGTAACAAACTCTATTCGTCCTTGTCCGAAATTCCAATGATCCCGAAAGCAACCTCACGGCGTCCGCGCTCGCAGAAATCACGTCTCCCTGTGCACGAATTCCGCGAAACACAGCAGCGACCTCCGTCCTCCGCCGTTCCGCCTGTCACAATAAATGGGCGGCGCGCCCCATGTACCGTGGCTGTCACGTCGTACGGAGAATGGAACCTCAACAGGCACTTGGGACAGCCTTCTGCGCGTCTCTAGGTATGAGGTGCATATGTGGACCAGAGCACACACCTGGGCGCATGGCATCCTAGCCACGACTAAAACAGACGGATGATGTGAGCGTCTCCTTGCTTCAAGTCGACGGGAAGAAGGTTGCATACTACCAACCGGCCTGCCGCGTTTACCCTCTCGGGGACTTTCTTCGTGAGAAGACGGTCCTTTCATTTCCAGCCCCTGCTGTCTATGTCAACCCTTTCGACAGTAGGTCTCGCTTAGTCGGTTTTGATCCAGAGCCCACCCCCGCTGGTAGTTTCGAGCCCACCGTCGACAACGTTGATCACAGTGCAGAGTGGG